AGGTGCTGGCTCTATTATAGACTTAGTTCCGATAACTACATTGTTATGTTAATGTGAATTTACTGTGCAAAACAAAAATGCAACTAGAGATTTTATTGGGATTGGTACTGGATAGATCAAATCAAAGTAGTGCAAAAATCCAGTCACAGGGTGCCACGAGAGGAGGTGGTGGATGGGAGATGAAACCAAAATGTACCTTTCTGGCCTGAATGCAAAACACTTTTAAGAACCAAATCTATTAGAGGTTTTGAGAGATTTAAAAAAATGGACAGTAAACACATATCCAGAGCTACACTGGAATAGCTTAGATGAAAATATAAGGGTATTAGAAAGCCAGACCTAAATCAATTTAAAGCCTGTGGCAAGACTTGAAAATCACTCTTCATTGATGCTTTACATCCCATCAAACTGAGTTTGGCTTGTTTTGCAAAGAAAAATGGCTAAAACCTTTTGATATCCAAAGCAGGTAGAGACATACTCAAACAGTTTTGCCTGTATTTTTGCAGTGACTAATAGTTCTGCATACTAGTCACTCTGTGGGACAGAATGCAAGTGCATGCCACACTATAAAGATTTGTATCCACGAGCAACTTTGAAAATAAATGATCAGTCCTCTTTCTCTTCACAGTTATGCACTGCTTTGTTTCAGTCTATTCCGTAATTACCTGTTTATTTGTGGCAGCAACATGACAACATGTGAAAAAGTTCAGGGGATATTGATTGTAATTTAAGTGGTTGTAAATATAAAACTCTTGTTTTAATAATATTTTGTTGAGACAAATGCAGTCAGTTTGTCTTTTTTCGTTTACAAGTACAGGTAATGTCTCCTTTGTCTCCTGCAGGCAACCTCAGAGGTGGTTCAACACGGCCGACATCACTGCGTCCCACCAGAACAACCTTTTGAAGCAGCTAAACGAGCAGCGCCGGCAGGAGCTTTTTTGCGACTGCAGTGTGCTGGTTGAGGGCCAGCTCTTTAGGGCTCACCGGAACGTCTTGTTTGCCAGCAGCGGCTACTTCCGGATGCTGCTGTCCCGGGGGCCAGACGGGCTGCCAGAAACTGTCAACGCAACCTTCGACGTCTTCAGCCCAGAGACTTTCACCGTCATCCTGGATTTTATCTACTCGGGGCAGCTGGATCTGTCCAGTCACAATGTGATCGAGGTCATGTCGGCGGCCAGCTACTTGCAGATGAACAGTGTCATCACATACTGCAAAAACTTCATCAAATCTTCCCTGGACATTAGTGTAAAGGACGAAGACAGTGACCGCTGCCACAGCCTGTCTGAGACCTGTTCTTTCACCAGCGGAGCAGGAGAAGAGTCTACAGAGCATCCGCAGCAAGGCCCCCGCTCCGTCAGCCCACCACCTGCACTCTGGACCCGGGACAACTCCAGGTCCCAGTCCAGTTTTATAGGGAAGGAGCCGGAGCAGGAAGTTGCAGTCTCAGCCCTTAAGACTGACCCAAGTAGCCCTACTAATGAGCTCAGTGCAGAGACAGATGACCTGCATGACCCTCAGGACCCTCTGTACACACTGCCAGGATCAGAGCGCCGACGTGGGAAAGGAGGGACCAAAAGGAGAGCTCCCAACAGCATTCGTTCTGGCCAGCATGAAGACCTGGATATTCAGGAGGCGAGAACCCTAAAGGCTGAGAAAGCAGAGGAGCTTTACGCCACACTACCTCCAATCGTTGGTGTTATTGGCCACTTTAATAAAGGTGTGTTTGTCTGTACACACCATCAATAGCTATGCTAGAGACGTTGTTGATGGACAGACTTGAATGACGTGAGTCTTATTTGGTAAGACAAATATTTCAGCCATATCTTATCATTTTTTGCAGATTCCAACCCTGTTATGCGCTTTAAATGCCCATTTTGCACACACACCGTGAAGAGGAAGGCAGACCTGAAGCGTCACCTACGCTGTCACACCGGAGAGAGACCGTACCCATGTCAGGCCTGCAATAAGCGCTTCACCCGCCTGGAGCACCTACGTAGCCACTTTGAGACGGTATGCCTTCTCAGAGTCTGAAGCTAACATTCAGCTGTGCTTTTTTTATTCAACACCACATAAAATATCTTTTAAAAAGTTGGTATAGCTTCGTTAATACAAAATTCAGTGGATAACATTTAAAAAGAAGCTACATGCTGTTCAGTTTAGCTTGATTCTTATACCCCACTTTATAGTTTGGAGGAAATAAATGCATCAGACAGTCACTTGGATTCTGTTTCCCATTCTGAGCAGGCGTTAAGTAAAATGAATAGGTGAACTATCCCTTTAGTCAAGAAGAAATATGTAAAAGAACCAGATTTAGGAAGGGTGACTATCTGCCTCGGATGAATGGGGGTGGCATGACAGGAAAGAGAGACTTGATAGGGAATACCCATCTTTGGAAAGGCACTAGGAGTCTTACCTAGCAACAAACTGTTTTAAAAAGGAATGTTTTTTTGGGATGTCATGATACCTTTGTGTTGCCTCGAGGTAAAAGTACTGAGCTATTTTTTTTTCTTCATCACTCTGGGACAGGGTGTTCTACTTTTATGTGCAGGTTATAGGACATGTAGAGGTTTTATACTATCCAGATGTACCAAATGTTACAACATTTTATTGAAAACGTTTAGGTTAGAAGAAAACAGCATCATCAGTAAATATGTATGTGGAACCCCAAACTAAAAACTTGACCCACAGTGGAACCTCCAACTGTGTTTCTAACCAAATCCACCAATGTTTATTGGACAAACATTGGTAGATTTGGTTAGTATGTAATGTTGCCCATCATTGATGTCACAGGGGGCTTTCTGGGCTGAGAGTGGGAAGCCCACCCTTTACGTAAATCTCTTGAAAGTCCACAGTCCCCACCACTCACTATATTACATCTGCTGAATCTCCAGAAGAAGCCTGTGGGTAAGCGAAGTCCTCACAGTCTGAAAGATTTGGAGAACTTATGGAAGAGAGGGAAAATATTGCCAAGTGATCTCTGCTGGTAGACTCCAACCAATATTAACCACTTTTATGACCATATATAAATTACTCAAATCTGGAATTAATTATAAAAGAAAAACAGAATTGCATTTTAACTGTTTTCTGGCTTTCCACAGATTCATCAAGCCAGGAAACTGGTGTGCAGGAAGTGCAAATGTCAGGTGACAGAGGAAACCGGGCATGTGGTGTGTGAGGGCACACGCCGCTACCGGATCTGCACTACCTGTATCCAGGAAGTGGGCTGTGACGACATACCCATGGACGGTCTGCAGACGCCCAACGAGGAGCCAGCGCTGTTACTAGGTGTGGACGGTGAGGAGGAAGGCGACACCAAGAGAAACTGGATGGTGAATGACGAAGATGATCTCGCTGAAGACTCGGGTGCAGATCTCATCATCCAGCAAGTGGATGACAGTGACGAGGAGCTGCAGTGAAGAAGGACCAAACTACGTGCAGATATATTGGCAGTGTGCATCTCTGAGTTAAAGCAATGCAAAAATAAAAAATAAAAAAAATAAAAAAAATAACATAAACAACAACAACAACAAAAACTAGCCTGGAGATGTAAGCTCTCAGTTTGTTGGGTGTATCCAACACAGAAATCATTCTTTTTGAGACTGTGGGGAAAACAAAAACTGTTTTTTGTAAATGTTGATAAAATTATGCAGTATCCAAAGCATGCATATTAATTTCTATTGTTTTGATTGAGTTGTTGTGTTACAATGATTTTAATAAATGTTTCTTCATTTGAATGCATGAAAAGACACTATGTCTTTGCAGAGATTTGGGAGTTTTTGTTAGCAGTGAACCCAAAATGTTGATCCAGACTAAATGGCAGCTTTTAAGGATTTTTCAAGTTTAAGGCAACATAATTTTGTTTTAAGTGTTTTTCTGCAAGCACTCTGATTTCTTGTTTATTATATGCACTATGGTATAATCAATTGTAATTTATTTATTACTTTTTATTTTTACTTTCTGACACATTAAAGATATTTTTATACACCTGTACCTGAGTCATCATTAGATGTGAGTTGTAACTAAGCTACTATATCTCTACCAACTATTCATTTGTGCATTTTACTTTCAAAAAAGAACCTAGCTTTCATATTCTGAAATATGAAAAATCATCAAGTTGAAAAACTAGAGAAAGTATTTGCAAAAACAATTTTTAAGGAAAATTTGTCACTCAAATGAATAAAGTGTTATAGCATATTTTGAGATCCAATTAACACAATATAATTTTTGTGAAGCCTACCTTCAAAAATTTTGAGTACTAACACTCCAGAAAACTTTTTCTATTTTTTTTAAAACCATAAAATGTCAAATTATGCTTCATTTTGTTTGATCAAGGAGAAAATATGTGTACTTTCTTTACATGAGTGAAGTTGTCTGACAAGGAATCAAAACTACAATCAATAGAAATGAACCACAACACTCAGTCTTCAGGAAATAAAATTATTTTCATGTTATATTTGAACGGTTTTCTACTTCCCTTCTTCAAATTGAATTTAAACCTAAACTATTAAGTGAAATAAACTGTTGCTGTGTGGTTGGTGTATGAAATGGGTTTGTTTTCAGGTACAGATTTAAGTAAGTTAGGACAAAAATATCAACACTGTCCAAAACGGGGATATGAACGTGTGAAGAGGTGATCTAGCCCAGCTTATATTTTCTGTTATTTATTTATTTATTTATTTATTTATTTATTTATTTATTTATTTATTTAGACATATAGATATTTTACTCTGCTATACTGACATTTCTAGGGTCCCGTTTTTACCCAGTGTTTAAAGAGACCTGGAGGTCTTCTGGAAAGCTGACATTCAATTGCACCACAAGGCCAGATAAATATTTTATCTTCTATGTAGTGACTAAAAGAATGTGAAATAAATAAATGTGATTTTTGTTCTATATCCTAACGCTTCTTATTCACTACCTAATTATTGCCAGTAGATGGCGCCTATGCATTTTTTTTATTTTATTTTTTATTTATTTTTTTTTTTTAAAGAAAACGTCACAACTCGCGTTTCCAGGAAGTATGACGTCAGGCTGCTGTTAGCTAGCTAGTGATGGCTGCTACAATGAGGCTTGTCAACAGAACAACTTTAAGATTAAGAATGGGCCAGCAATATATGTCGTTCAGCTCCGCACCAAAGGAGAAGACGGTTAGTTCTGGGTTTTTATTTCCCCGTTGTTTGAACTAAACGTTTACAGTTGGTGCCGTAAAGAACGTCGGTCTCCAAATATCCATTAGCCTCCACTGGAAGCTGGTTGTGTTTGGTGACTCTTGAGGAGACGCTACAGTTCAGCTTTAACTCTTATTTTTATTTGACTGTTGGTGGTTATATGTGTGTGTTTTGCCTTCAGACATGTGTAAAAGCTGCTCATGCTCTCCCACAAACTGTGAAAATAGTGGAAGTTGGACCCAGAGACGGTCTTCAAAATGAAAAGGTACACTTGTATAAATAAATAAATCATGTTTTTATTTTTAGTTTTGTTTGGTTTTATTTGATTTTCAAATCATAAGATTAACCAAATGAAGGTTAATCACGATTTACAACTAAATGTTCACCCAAGGGGAGCAGGTGTTTTTGTGTCTTTCAGGAATTTCAGTGAAGTACATAATATAAATAGACATTTATTTATTTAAAAAATTACAATTACAACAAAATATTTTTGTTTTATTAATACGGTGCAATTATATTATTAAATAGTTTTTATTGTATTGTGTTTTTGTATAATAACTAGGTACAGGCATTACAGCATATTAATTTTGAAATTACAAGCATACAATTTGTTCTTTCATTTTTACTATGTAATACAACAAAGATATTTTAAGCCTAACATGTTGGCTGTTTTTATTTCTGTTTTGTTACGATGCTGATTTTTGTATTCAGGTTAAGACACTACCTTTAAAAAAAAAAACAAAGCAAAATAACTTTAAATATAAAGTTAAATTGTTGCCCTAGTGTAGGGGTGTCCAAAGTCAGTCCTCAGGGGCCGGCATCCTTCACGTTTTAGTTCTCTCCCTGGTGGTAGCAACAACCTTTTCAGTTTGTCAATATTCCTCTTAGGGCTTCTAACGAGCCATCATTTGATGCAGGTGCATTAAACCAGGGAGAGAACTAAAACATGCAGGATGCCGGTCCTCCAGGACCAACTTTGGGCATCCTTGTCCTAGTGGTTCAGTGAGCAAAAGAATAGGTGTGGCAATCTTGTACAACCTGGTGAAATTACATGAGTCATGCATAGTTGGCATTATTTATCAGCTGTTCTTCATTATTGGTTTTATGATTCTATCCCTTTAGACTGTCGTTCCAACAGAGGCAAAAATCAATTTAATTAACATGTTGTCAGAGTCTGGACTTCCAGTCATTGAGGCCACCAGCTTTGTGTCCCCTAAATGGGTTCCTCAGGTAAGCATTTTAGAACAAAACCCACTCCGACTTCAGGATGCAAGAATGAATTGAGCTTTTTTTTTCTTTTTAATGCTGATTGGCTTCTATTGTTTACTTATCAGATGGCAGATCAGGTGGAGGTGATGCAAGGTATCAGTAAGAAACCAGGAGTATCTTATCCAGTCCTCACGCCAAACCTGAAAGGTTTTCAAGCTGCTGTGAGTGCTGCACATTCCTGTAGTTCTGATTCAGCCCTGAATAGGCACTGAATGTTCAGGTTTTTAATACTGCAGGTGATGGCTCTAAAACATGTTTTGATTTCTTGTGCTGTAGCTAAAGGCCGGAGCTTCAGAGGTGGCCATATTTGGTGCTGCATCTGAGCTGTTTAGCAAGAAGAACATAAACTGCTCTGTGGAGGAGAGTTTACAGCGCTTCGAGGAGGTCATGAAGGCAGCTAAAGAAGCTGCCGTGCCAGTTCGGGGGTATAATTTCCAGCATCCACGCCACTCCCAGTAAACCTTTAAATCATTCGGACTTGCTCTTAAACTCTTTCATCCATGATTCTCGTCACTGCAGTTATGTCTCGTGCGTCGTGGGATGTCCGTATGAGGGCCAGGTGGCGCCTGAGAAAGTTGCACATGTGAGTTATGGCTCAAAAGATGTTGCGTTTGTTCAGCAAATAAGTCATTCATCATCTTTTGTAAAACGGCCAGACGCTAAGCACTTAAGATTTGTTTCTGTGTCACAGGTGGCGAAGCGCCTGTACTCTATGGGCTGTTACGAGATTTCTCTAGGTGACACTATTGGAGTGGGGACTCCTGGAAGTATGACTAAAATGTTGGAAGCTGTGACCAAAGAGGTGCCAGTGAGTGCTTTAGCTGTTCACTGCCACGACACTTATGGCCAGGCTCTGGCTAACATCCTCATAGCCTTGCAGGTCAGGCTGAGTTCATGTTTCTGAGTCTAAAAGCTTTCCCTGAAACAATCTAGGGTATTATTATAAAAGTGAAGTTTTTCTGTTTTTTTTTTTTATTTTATTTTGTTTTGTTTCGTTTTCTCTGTTGGGAATCAGCGTGGTAGACTCATCAGTAGCTGGACTGGGCGGCTGTCCATACGCTCAGGGGGCTTCTGGGAATGTTGCAACCGAAGATGTTGTTTATATGCTGCATGGACTTGGAATTAAAACGGTAAGAGATCCACTTTTTATCTACCTTTCTTTGCTTTGGAGTCAGCTAGGAGGGATAAGAAAACCAGTTGTTAATTACACTTCTGGTAAATGTACATACCGCTTATCAACAGCAGTTATTCCATTAATTATTAGTTTATAATGCCCAAGTTGATCCATTTTCTGTCTTCCGGAGGAAACAGTCACATATTAAATGACTTGTACATTTTCTTAAAAACTAGAATTTAATGTTACAGTACTCTGGGAAAAACATTATTTTCCAGTTTGTTTGTTTTTTTATAAATCATATTGCAGTTAAACTTTCACCTTAGATCAATCGAGAATAATTTCATTCTGTTCCTGTTTTCTGTCAGTCTGCTTATGTTGTTGCTGCTCTGCTTGTAAACTTTAAAAATAGATGAATTACTTATGTTTTACTTGAACTTTTCCTCAAATTGTTTAAGCTGTGACTCTGTGTTCTCACGTCAGGGAGTGGACCTCTCAAAGCTGATGGATGCTGGAGCTTTTATCTGTCGAACCATCAACAGGAAGACCAGCTCCAAAGTGGCACAAGCCACCTGCAAACTGTAGACAAAAAAAGAAATGGTGGCTTTTTCCAAGGCTATATCATCCTCAGTTTCCAAAATTAAGCAAAATAAAATGTGGTTTGATTTAACCGCTCTAAAAATTGTTGTTAAATATTGTTTTCTGTATTAGTGCCTTATGTAAAATCTGTTTCTTAAGAGCACTTGTCTTTTAAATGAATGCTTTTGTCAATTTGTGGTCAGTGGATGAAGAATGGACTTAACTTTAAGTTTCTAATGACACACGGTCCTGTAAATACAGATTAAATCACTAATATCACAGCAGAAGATTTAGTTCAGTATGTACCCGTGGAAACCATCATGCCTTTGAAGTTTGGACAATATAATGATTAGTGAAACTTTCTTTTTTTTAACATAGTGCTTAAGGTTATTTATTTAAATTATCTCTTTAAATTTGAAATGTACATATTTATGAAAGTTGAAAATTTCAAAAATAAAACTATTTTACATTGCAATTTGTGATTGCATTTGTCTACTGATGAATATTGCTAGGATGTAATATTTGTTTTATCATCACCTCATACTGGAAACCTTTGAGAAATCCTGATTTTAAGTCTATTTGTTTTATGTGTGACTGAGGAATCCCAGCTTAGACATAAAATATAGTTACAGTATGTAGTTTTTGCAAACATATTTGCAAAGAGTTAGGGGGAGGTTATGAGTGGGATATACACAAGAGTGATTGACAGCACTAAGACCCTTTTCCTGGCTCTGATTGGTTGTTTCTGACAGAGCACTGGACAATAGGGAGAAGGCAAAGGACCTCAGTTTTTTTTCTCACAGTTTGTGTTTCATACTGTCTCAACATAGTCATAGTTTTGACAAATGTTTATTATAGAAGTTGCATATGGCTGCCTTAAGTCCTCAAGTGCCAGGGTCCTGCAAGTTTTAGATGTGCCCTTGATCCAACAGATCAAATAGAATAAGCTTATCATCATTCAATCAAGTTCCAGATAAATATCTGAAGCACCTGAATCAAACAGCCTCACCATTCGTTTGAGTCGGGTGTTCTTGAGAAGAAATCCATCAAAAGGTTCCAGGATATTATCTTTTGAGGACCAGACCCAGGCAGAGCTCACCTAACAAGTCAACTCACAATGACCAGAGGAGTCCTAATTTTATCAAATCTTTGTTGATTTGACAAAATGTTTTAACCCATTAACCTGCAAAATGGATTAAATGTTTTTTTTAGTTTTTGACTGTGGCCACAAGATTTTTCTTTAAAATTTAAAAAATGTGGCTCAGGGAGTTCCACAGACCTCTTAGCAAATGGAAATTTTCCACACATTCCTCCTTTGTTTACCTGTTTTCCTGTTGGTATTTGTGAGTTAAGAAGAGCAACGCACATGGGGCAAGAGTAGTTCAGCAAGTAGTTCCTGTAACCAGGATGTTGGCCTACACAACTGACTTCTGTCAGTCTGCCGTCAGCTCAACGCCTTCAGTGTGTTGTTGATTTGACTGCATCTAGTTTAAAGTATTTTTGAGTTGTCTGACTTGATAAAACACAGTGAAAATGCATTGCAATATCATTTCTCTGCCTCACTTGAATGGAATGTTCTCTTGTCGTTTCTATGTTGATGGAAAACTAAGTGAAACTTCTTACTCCGTTATCTAAAGAAAACAATCTCTGGCATGTTACGGCAATTTAGATGATTGTAGATTTGATTTTCCACAGCTCAGCTTCAGTTCTTGTCTGTTTCACACACTTACTTAACGAGGGCAACAGTTGGAAGAATAGCTGTTTTGAATTTGGAAAATTCCTGTTTCATCCCCTGCTGCGTGTCTGAGTGCCTCTGGGCAAGGCACATTGTGTTGCCTACAGAGATAAAGCCGTTTCACCGGTTTTTGCTTCATTAGCCTACACAACTCTTTGCATCAGGGATTTAACTGCATTTGTGGAAAATAACCCCTAAAACCCAACTTGGAAAATGGCTTGTACTTGAATGCCAATCATAGCTTCAAGACTCCCAAAAAATATTGAGAAAATTGTGTCTGGAAAAGTTTGGAGTTTTTTTAAATGAAATTTTATAGGACACCGATGAAAAACGGAAGTCATGGATTATTATTTTTATATGTTTCACTTGCATCCCTTCATAAAAACGTGGCAGCTGTGAAACAGTTGAAAAAGTAACAGTAGAGGGCGTCACATGCACCTTTTTATGCTTTTATGCTTCTTCAGGAAGAAGCATATTTTGAGCCATTAATCACCATCCGAGGAACTATTGTGCGTAGATTTCTTATTGTCTCTGTGGAAAATTTCCTGTTCTAAGAAAACATCCAGGACAAAACAACACATTTCAGTTGATGCAAGTTAAGAAACCTGAATGACAAGTAAAACTGGTAAACTGAGGTTGTTATGTCATCCAAGAAACGCCTGGAAAAGCACTTGGAAAAGTTATTGGAAACAATTTTAAATGGTACACCATTATGACTCGGTATATTCAGATGCATGTCTGTCACAAATTTATGCCGACGTCAGGATTCATCACAAAACAATGACCAGCTCCTTAGATGAAGACTGTTGGGATCCACATGCATAATTAAAATCTATATTTATAGCATGTTTTCTCTTGCTTCTATCTAATAATGAATCTCAATTCAAAAACAACAAAGACACACATTGTTTTCATACATTTACACTTTTATAAAAAGGACAAATATTAACAGCATCTGCAATTTTCCACATGACTTCCAGATTGGACTGCTACAGTTCCACAAGCCGCATCCAGGTCTGTCCAGTTTTCATCCAACATGATTCAGCACTAAAACACAGAATTAAACAGCAGCATCCCTTTGAGACTGACTTGAATCAACAGTGGTCTTGGACCGCGCGAGGTTGTGCACAAGCATGTCAAAACACAAGGAGTCTGAGCAGCACAAACCTGACAGAGAGAGCAAGGATTTCAAAAACATGAAATGCAAAACAAATGCATTTAATTTTGTCTGTGAGAATAAAACAGCTCATTTCTGGGCACCTTCAAGTACTTTTATACAAGCTCTGAAGCATCTATATTCCCATGATGAAGGGTGTCCTTTTCTTCGAATTTACATGAAATCATGAAGCTAAAATCATAATCTGAGTGCAAACTACATTTTAAAAATCCCTTTTTAACAGCTAACCTGTAGATTATGACATCAGTTTCTGACACACCACTGTAGACACGGGTAGGGATGGTGAATACCTCTACCAGGTGTGTCTTTGCTTCTTTTGTGATACTTATTTCCCTTCCCCCCCATGCCAAAACTACTCAAAAGTAAAGCTGATAAAACTTTCACTGGCTTATTTTAAAAAGTAGAAGAGCTTAAATGGCACAGAGATATTTATAGTATCTAAAAAGGACAACCACGTATCACCAACAAATCAAACTTACATTTAACAGTTGACTTATAAATATTGTGGATGTTGACTTGGAGACCGAAGTTCAAACAATTCCTTGAGAGTTTTAGATGCGGACACAAAGTCACAATGAATCCAATACCAATGATCCAGCTCTGAAACATTCTGCAATGTGGCTCATGGGTCTGCATCTGTATTTTTTTTTTAGGGTTTGCAAACCTTAAAATCCAGCCAAAACAGTTTTTAGCTCTTGACCCGTTGCCTGACTTCCATCATGACCATGACAGGGTCAAGTTGGGAGCAGAAGCCCGTATCTTTGGATCTGAGCCGAGTACTTGCAGCCGGTTTGATGCTTTGTAGACATTCTTGAAGGATGGAGGCTTGTCATCCATATCTCTCTTTGGCAAAGCCACGTTGTAGTTGTGGAAGTTGTCGTTGTTGTAGTCGTCATGTTGCACAGCCATGTGGTGATTGCGCCTTTTGCACTTGTTTATGATCCGTGCAATTCTCTTGGAGATGAGATAGATGATCTCGCATATGTTCAGGATGATACAGAGGGCCGAAGCTCCAACCATGAAGTAGGTGAAGACCTTCTTCTCTGTTGGGTGACCGATATAGCAATCAACCACGTTGGGACAGGGTACCACCTCGCACTTGTAGAGCCTTGGTAGGTAGAAGCTGTCGTAGATATGGTGTAGGATGTAGAGGAAGGCAATCTCAATACCTGTTTTTGCAAAAAGGCTGATCAGGTAGGTCCACCACAGCCCACCGTGTTTCTTGCCAGTGTTGGTGTACAGCTTGCTGTCTTCACCGAATTTGGCCCTGTGCTTTCGCTCGCGTTCATCGCGGTACGCCACGTGCATCACCACCATGAACGAAGGGCAGGTGACGAAGATGAGCTGGAGGGCCCACAGGCGGATGTGGGAGATGGGGAAGATGTGATCGTAGCAGACATTGGGACAGCCAGGCTGCTTGGTGTTGCAGTCAAAGTCCTTCTGGTCATCCCCCCAAACCCGCTCAGCTGCCACCACGTACACCATCACCCTGAACACAAACACCACCGACAGCCATACCCGTCCAAACGCAGTGGAGTATTTGTTCACTCCGCTGAGGAGGGCTTGGAAGGTCTTCCAGTCCATGTTGTTGACTTGTAGTCAAATATCTGTTGTCTGAAATTCTTCTCTCTATGGTTACCGTTTCTCCTTTCACCTGGAAGTGGAAATGTAAAAAAAAAACAAAAAACAAAAGGGTCACTAACATCATGTTTTCAGAGCCAGTTGAGTTTCAGCCAATAGACATTTTTCTAGGGAGATAAATATCAGGAAGTCTGTTCAGACCTGATTGGAAATAAAAAAAAAATAAAAAAAAATTTCCAACTTCCTAAGTCTTAATCATATCAAGAGAGCGTTTGTGAAATCACAGCCATGTAAAGGCCCGTGACTAAACTGCCAACAAAGGAGACAAGCTGAAGCAACTTTTTTTTTCTTTTTTTTTTACACACCCACAAACTGTTCAGGCTTTTCTTTAGGGCATTTTTAGGCAAATAGTCACATTCAAAATGAGGTTAGAGCATGCCAGTCTCCTTTTGTGAGTATTTTCTCGTTGAAGAAAATCTAATATTGAGAAATAAAGCGTCTTAAATCTTGGTACATTTGAAAAAAACGACTTTTACGCACTAATTGTCCGCGCTCTCTGGAAATATTTTCGTGGGAAGAATCGCTCTGAGTCAGTATTCTTATATCCCAA